GCGGCGCTGTGGGCTCTGCAGCTCGGCGAGAGCGGGAGGGGGGCGCCGATGGGGAGGGGAGGCGAGTGCTGGGGGCGGGGACGTCGCAAAATGGAGGCGCCGACCGAGAGGGGCTCCCAGCGCGCCGCCACGGGGCAGGGCCTGGGGAGTCCTGGGAGAGCTGATCTGGGCACGTTGGGAGGAGCCCCTAAAGCCTGGGGCTGTGGGGGGTGGGCTAGCCCGGTAGAACCCAAACTTCCCTGCTGACTGCTCTGGGTTCGCGGTGGTGGGTAGGGTAGCAGCTGGACCGCCTCCCCGCAGCCCTTTTTCACCAAGCTAGGAGGGGCCTCGAGGTAGGAGACGGCGCGGGGCGTGGGGTGGAGGCTGGAAGCAGCCATGGAATTGCCCTGGTCGCACTCAACTTGCCGGCTCGAGTCCGTGTACATATCCCAAGTCATGTACGCACACCCAGTGCACAGGCACACGCTCCACCTAACCAGACACACCAACTCACAGACACAAATTCAAATGTACACCTCAAAGTGTCCACGCATACTCGCAAACATACACCCCCTTCTCATGGACGTGTCATTAATCAGATAGTCAATCCGCAGCATACATAAACACCCGAACTACATACACCTCGTTTTAGACACACTGTAAAGCCTAAAGAGCAGCCACACCCGGAGTCAGATGAATCTCCTGATTCACAGACACCCTAAGTCAATGATACACCCCAGCTGGGAGTGAACACCCTCACTCGGAGACATTTCCAAACTCGCCATCCCAACACACCCCTGCTCACTGGCACCCCAAGGGCACGCCTCTGTTACATATACGTAGTGGCCCAAAGACCCCTTTGTCCCACCCTAAGGGTTTCTTCAAGTGAACCCAGGCCTCCCTGGGTAAACCACCACCCAGAGATCAGAGAGGGGAGTGACCCCATCAGCCCCACGCTCCTCCCCCCTCAGGCCCGTGTATCTCTATCTCCTGTGCGGGCACCTGGGAAGCAAGAAACAGTATCTATCTAGTCCCAGTTTAGCGCTAACTCGCTGCCAGACCTTGGAAAAGCCTTGGTCCGTCTCCAGCCCCGCTGCCCCCGCATCCCTCAAGCGCAGCGATACTAGGAAGGTCTTCATGACTGTACACAACGGGGTGGGAGAGAAGGGGACGGTGGACATGTGTGCCCCACCCCACTCAGGAAGCCATCCCACTCTCAGTGAGCACCGACGAGGGCATACGCTGGGTCCAGGACCTCCGGGTCGCGTATTTTCGAGAGCTGTCTCCCCTCCCCCGCTGCGCGAGGCCGCCACTGCACGCGTGTGCGCATGTCTCGGGCAAGCCTGCGTGTGGGGGCTGGGAAGAGGGGGCGGTCCCCAGGCTGAGTCACTGAGAGCCCTAGCTCTTGTGGCAGAAACAAGGGACTGGCTGGTTCCTCCTCTTTCTCGGACTGGGACCCCCCCCAAATCTGCCCCGCAGTTCTTTTCATCTTTCCCTGCCCCTCACCTTGAGCAGCTCCTTGGGGAAGTCACCCCCATCGTTGAGACCCTCCAGGTTCCCAATGAAGTCCCCGCAGGTCATGCGCTTGCCGATGTTCTAAGGAGAGTGCAGAGGCCTGTAAGTCTGGAGGTGTCCTAGGCCCCTTAGGCCAGGGAGTCTCTGGACTAGGGATCTGTTTTCTGGGCTCCCTCCCTCCTCTTCCCCACTCACGTGGCCATGGAGATCGGTGTTAAGTAGCATGAGGGCGCAGGTCAGCGTGTGGGCACCATCTGCAGTAGAGTTAGCCTTCAGCCTGGGCCACCACTTCCCGGGGACTATTTTCACACAGACACCTACCTTCCCCAGGTCTCTCCAAGGAAAGATCCCCTTTCCCAGCACATCCCTCAGCAAACACTTTGCCCTGCATCCCTGAGGTGCTGGGGGTGTGGAAGCTCATAGCTGCTCCCCACACTCACATGCCTCTCTGGTCTGTGCACGAAACACACCCTACCAGCAAGGCGGCCCCACAAAGACATGCAGACCTGTGCAGCCAAACGGAATCCCCACTCCCGCCAAGCACTGTCCTCCACGTTTGTGAACAACTGCACACACACTCTCCCGCTACACGCCTCTGCACAATACGCGCTTGAATCTAGCAGTCGGCCCACTCACATGTACAGTCCTACACACGCAGCCAGCACTGCACACATGTATAAGAGGAGTGGTCTGCACACATGCATGCTCACATGCCTGCCAGCATGGCATTCATTCACCAGTGCACACACACACATGCTTCTATGCATACACATGCAAAGCCCAGCCCGTTGCCTCAGCCTCAGCGGCCCCCCGGTGGGGCAACCCCCGCCCCTCCCTGCTCCTGCTCCCTCACCCTCTGAGGACAAGGCTCCGGGATTGCACTGGAAGTATCGCTGGGAGAAGTGGGCCAGCACGCGCTCCCGTTCCTGGGTTTCACCCATTAAGGCCAGCTCCTTCAGAAACACCCTGGGGCGGGGCAGAGAGGACAATGTCCTGTCGTCCCTACCCCAGGACCCCTTCTCAGGCAGCCCCACCCTTGGCCCTACTGAGCCAGCTTGGGAAAGGTTGTCAGGGAAGTTTGGGAGAGGTGCAGGGGCTCAGAGCAGGCATGGCTAAGGCCCTGCACACCAGGCCTGGAGAGGGGAGGCTGCCCCCAAAGGACTTAACACCCACCTGAGAGCCTGGTCCAGAGTCATGCCCGTAAAGACAAAGAACTTGAGGTACTCGCCAGCTACCAGTTTGCTGAAGTCATTGCTGTGGGCAGGGCAGAGAGACAGGTGAGGTCATGAGGGAGAGCGTCAGGAAGGCAGGCAGGGGTTACCTAGAGACCCGGGGTGATGGATGGAGGGGATGTGGAGGTGCTGCCTGCAAGATGCATCTCCCGCCCCCATCCTCAGCCCCAGCCCAGGGGCTTTACTTCTTGCCCAGGTGCCGGGCCACGTCAGCCTTCCTGAACCCGTCAAGTCGGTACAGCCTCTTGGCTAAGCGCTGTGCAGCCTCCAGGTCTGCTTTCTGCCCGTTGGACAAGGTGTCTGTACTTCCCAGTGCCAGCCGCTCCGTGCTGTCCAGCTCCGAGTCTGAGTCGGACACCAGCTGGGTCAAGGGTGGTTCACTGCCAGGGTAGGACACCAGCTCAGGGGGTTGGGGGGGGCAGGGCCTAGGGGGCCATCCAGACCCTCCCGCTGCTTCCAGACCCAGACAGACAGTGGAGAAGTTGAGAGAACATGGTGAAGGCACTTTTCTTTTCTCCCAGAAAGCGATTTTACAGGTTCTCTCCATTGGCCTACTCCATCCTTACCACCACTCTGTGGAAGTCCTGCCTCAGATCTAACCCACGTTCATCTTGCTGCTGTGGGAGTTCTGGCTGCATCCCCAGACTCCCAGGGGCATAAGTTTGCTAGTGGACACAGATTCCCCATTCCCAACACTGGCCCTGTTCAAAACACAGTCCATATCTCTGAAAATATGGGCAGAGGTGGGATTGATGGTCTGTCAGAGAGAAACAGTGAAGGGTCAGGCAAAGACTTGAGGGCAGCAGGGCCACCCTCAGGCCTGCTCCTCTGTCATTCCTCCCCTTCTGAGGGAAAGGAGGCTCCTCCTCCATCCCTCCCTTCCACCCACCAAAGAGCAGACTCTGCGGTGGGAGAGATTGGGGGTCAGGGTGTGCTCTCTCACCCCTTCCTTATCCTCCCCTTTCTTCCCCACCCCAGCTGCTCTACTCGCAAAGCCACCTGTCACCCCAGAGACAGAGGCCGGAAACTCCTGGTTGCTAGGCAACCCTGTCTCCCTGGCCACCCCCTCCTGTTGCCATGGCTTCCATGACTGAGAGGGTAACTGGCGGAGGAGGGGGAGCAGAGAGGTTAGACTGGTGAAAGGACTTCCTGGAAAAGGGTGGGAGACTCCTGATTGCGGAAAGGAGGGGTGATGGTGGAGAGAAGCCAGGGGAAAGGCTGGTGGCTCCATCTTTGGGAGAAATCTCCCAGCTGGATGGGAGTAAGGTCATATGAACTCTAAGCAGGTTAGAGGCTCTGCCGGGGGAGGAATCGGCCCTTCCAGAGAGAAAGGAGGGTGCTCTCTGGAGACTCCTGCGACTTCAATCATGTCTTCTCAAGTCACTAAGACCAAAGAGGGCCCTGTTAGGGACTCTGCCTCAGAGCCAATGAAAGTAGTCCTCCAAATGGAAAACCAAACACCTGCAACCCCCTTACCATTCCCACTCAGGTCAGATATACAAACAACAGAACATCCCTGTGCTCAGGCTCTGTCTCGTGGGCCAGCTGCTCTTGGGATCCTGGGACCCTAGAGCCCTGGAAACTTCAGGTCTGAGGGACCAAGGGAATCACTCACCTGCCTAGAGGGGCTGCCCCCAGCCCAAAGCTGTCCTCAGAGCGGCAGGGACTGGAAGACTCCCTCCCTGGGGCCAGCTTGGCTCTGGCCTCTGCCTCCTCCTCCTCCCCTCTCTGAGTCCAAGGCCCATCAGCAGCGGAGCTGGTGCCAGAATCTGGCTCAAGAAGGGCAAGTGGGGCAGGAGCAGGTGGGTCAGGCCGTGGGGCAGGGGGCTGTGGGGGCAGCTCAAAGGTGAAGAAGGGGCTCTGGGTTGGGCCAGGTGAGGCCAGGGCTTCCAGTGAGGCCAGGCTGGTGTAGGAGGTGCCCTTGGCCCGGTGTGACTCCAGGATGGCTTCAAACACACAACTGAAAGAGTCAGGCCCGTCAGCAGAGGGGCTGGTCCCAGGCAAGAAGGGCACTGGCGACTTGAGGGGCATTCGAGTCCCTGGCCTGCAGGAGCAGGGAGAATGTTTGGTTAGGGGCACCAGCCGTTTTCAGAGGGCAGATCCTGGGCCACATCTCACTGAACTCTCATACTGATTCTGTGCGAGGATCATCACCCCATTTCATTTGCAGAGAATGAGGTTCAAAGAGAGGAGGAGGAAGCCGTGTACTTCAGGCTGCAGAACCAGGACTCAGACCTCTGACCCTATCTGACCCTGGTGCTGAAGCCTCCCATGCTGTGTCCTCAGCCCCCTCAAAGAAAAAGAGGATCCCCACCACAGGCTCCCCAAGCTATTCAGTGTCCCAGGGCACCCCAGGCCTACCCCCCCAGCACCCAATCCTCTTCCTCCCTCCCTCCCTCGCTGCTAATCTCCCTCTCTCCTCCTTTTCCCTGATCCGCTCCCCTCCTGCCATCCTGTATCTATTTCTGGCAACATCTTAGGAGAAGATGAGTCTCCAAGTTGCAGTGGGGTGTGAGACAGGAGAAGAAAGCCCCCATATGCCCCACTCTCCTGCCAGGACCCAAGATCTGGACTGATGCTCCCATTCCTCCAGGCTTCCTTTAGGCCTCTGGCCTCTCACCTTGCCCCTGGGCCTGCTAGAAGAACTCTCAGTGCCCTGCCTCCTCTCTCCTGCCTGCCCCCTATCCTCCTGGCTTCATGCCTGATGCTCTCCAGAACCCTCGTGTTCTTCCAGGCCTAGGCCTCTGTGCTCAGTCTTCTGCTACCCACACTACCCTGCCAGCACCCCAACCTTGGTCCTGATGCTCCTGGTCCCATCCTTGCTTTTGTCCCATTCCCTTCCACCCCAGCTCTGCCTCTGGGCCAGTGACAAGGAGCAAGCCACTTTCTTCTCCCACTCCCTCACTCACCGGGCTCCCTCTGAGGCCTCAAACACTTCATCATCCACATCCTCTTCCCCACCTGCCTCCTCCTCCTCCTCCTCACTGCCACTGCTGGGATGAAGGCCAGGGCACAGGCCAGGACGTAGGGCAGGTGGGTGAGCAGTACCAGGTGGGCCTTCCGAGCTGGGCTGACTCTCAATGGCCGAATCAGCTTCCTCCCGCTCAGCCAGCACCTCGTCAATGTCCGTCTCGCGGTAGCACCTCAGGGGCACCGTGTCCAGGTCCGTCTCAGAATACTTGGCCGCTCTCCCCACAGCCACCCCAGAGCCTTGCCTTGGGCCCACTCCAGGTGGAGATTGGGGGGCCTGCTCTGGGGGCTTAGCACCTGCAGGATGCATAGGCCTCCAAGTCAGGAGGTCTTCCAGTGTAATTCCCTAGCCTGCTCCTGTTCTAGGAACTCTCTCTGACTGCCCTCACACTGGCAGGAAGTTCCTTCACCGTCTGGCCACCACTCCTCATACTACAAACTCAGCTTGTTCCTGGTGTTGATGGAGCTCATTTCAAACCAAATTTTTATCTAACACCCTCGAGGGGCCTCTTATCTCCTCCAAGGAATGGCCCTTGAGATCCTTGCATCCCCTCCTTCTACTACCCAGCTTCCTCTAGGTACCCAGCCCAGCCGCTAGCCCTGAGCTCTCCCCATCATAACACAGGTGGGAAAGGGACGGCCTGGAGGGGCACTTGCCAGCTCAGAGCCCAGGAAGGGACTGGAGGGACTCTCAAGGACGGCTCCCTACCAAGGCCCAGCTGCTGCGGGGAATGTCCTGCCTCATTCTCCTTGCCTCAGTCCCAGGCCTTACCTGAGCTGGGGGGGTCCAAGGAGCCATAGAAGAATTCCCATTTGGCTCTAGCAATTCTCTGAGCATGAGAGGAGACTTCCCCGGGGGAGGACCAGGTGTCCCCCTGAGCCAAGGAGGGAGAGATAGACACAGGCACCCAGAAATAAAGCCAAACACGTGGAGACATAGGAACACAGGGTAGAAACACAGAAATAAACACACAGGGACAGAGATGGAGAAGCAGAGACACAGGGACCAAACACAGAAGGCAAGAAAGATATTTAGGAAGATTGAAGGATTCAGAGTAAACAGACAGATCCGAATCTACCAGGTGACCAAGCCTTGCCCCTTCACTGGGACCCTGTGGCCCCAGGGAGCCCACGGGGGATCACAAACCTGGTTCAGGAGTCCGGTGTTGGTAGGTCCTCGGAATAGTGTGGCCAGGTGCTCAGGGGGACCCCCCAGCCCATTGGGGAGAGAGGAGTAAAGGCCATCTGCCCCAACCTGGGGTGGGGCGGGGGGCCCGATTAAGGGGCCTCGGTGGCCAGACAGGGCAGAGCCTCCTCCGGCTGGAAGTGGGTCTGACGTGGACGCCTCCAGCCGCAACTTCCGGTTAGAACCAGGCCTAAGGGCTGGGGTGGGTCTGGGAGGAGAGACCCCACCCAGGTCCCAGCTCCGACTCAAGCCTCCGGGAGCAGGTAACCCATTCAGTGGCCTCACACTGGCCTTCTCCACAAGGCGGAAGATGACCACAGAGCTCTGGGCCCCAGGTGGGGGCTGCCCAGGGGGGGAAGAGGATGCCCACGGTGAGGGAGCAGCACGGGGTGAAGGGGGACCACGCAGGGGCGTACAGGGCGCTGTCACACGGCCCAGTTCCCGGCCCCGGGGACCTGGACCTGCCACCCGCCGTAGCAGGGAGCCTGTGCTGCCATACATGCTGGCCGGGGGGCTCTGGGGCACAGGGCCCTCGGGGAGCCAGCGGCGTGGGCATCGTGGTGGGGAGATGGCACAGTCGCCTTCTGAGCAGAAGCGCATGGCACCCTGGGCCATGCTGGGGCCGGGGGTCAGGCTGGGGGAGCAGGGATGGCGAGGCCAGGCAGGGAGTGAGGGGGCAGCATGCTCTTCAGACAGGCCTGCAAGAGAGGAAGGGGAGCAGGGGGTGAACTGCAGGAGAGCCGAGTGCAGGAGAGCAGGGGCAGGGTGGGGACGCGGGCTGGGGCCTCTGAGCACCAGGAGCCTAGCCTACACTGGAATTAGGGGCTCACTGACCCCACCTCTGGGGGTGAACTGGCCTCCCGCTTGGGCTACTTTCGTGAAAGTCTGAGGAGAAATGAAATGCCCCCCAGTGGACCCCTGGACCCTCTCCTTCTGCCCGGGAACCCTGAGCTCACCCTGAGAGGACAGAGGAAGCTATTTCAGAAGGTGGGTGAGCCCAGAGTCCCAGTGGCACTTTGGAACTGCTTCTGGTGGGGAGAGACTGGCACCCCATCCTCTGGACCAGGGGTGCCAGCCAGCCATCACCATCATACAGCCCTGAGTCCCCCACAGTCTCTCATTCAGGGAAGGGGAACACAGGCCCCCTGAAAGGAAAGGAGGAAAAAGTTGGAGAGGTTACGTAGGGACAATAAGGGGCTGAGAGGCACAGGGTGGAGGGGAGGAGAAAGGCTGAATAGAATATCCAACCGGATACACAGAAGCTGAATGAGAAAGGGACATTGTTGTTCTCCATACAGGTACACACACACACACACATACTCATACACACACAGGCATACATAAGGACAAATATGCCTAGACACAGTCAAACACATTCACAGGCAACACCCTCTGGCAAACACACATACACACAAGTACACACACACACACACTGCTCAAAGACACACCCTCACACACTCACGTCATAACAAATATGTGTGTAATGAAAAGGCACATGCTTGTTTTACACACACATTGTCATACTGACAGGAATACACAAAGAGATACCCAAATATACACACCGGCTCTCACTCTGCAATACTCTCTGATACACACAGAGACACAGAGATGCACAGGTGTATCGTATCAGACACAGAGACCTGCTGGTGCACAATCACACATAAACACAGATACATACTTACACAGTCGCAAGCAGGGACACCCACCCCTCCCCCCACACACCCCAGGAGTCACAGGTCGCTGGGTGGCGGAGAGAGCTGCACCAGATCCTTCTCCCACCCCCACCTCCAAGAGGTAGGCAGATCTTTCTCATCCAGTCCAGCCCTGGAGGGAGCCCAGAGGGGTAAAGGGGCCTCTTGGGGCAATGCAGGGTAGGGGCAGAGGTCAGGAGCAGCAACCCTGCCAGGCAGGTTCCTGCAGCTCACCCAGGGCCCTGCGCATCCCCTGTGTAGTCCCGGCTCGGAGCCACCTCAGTACTCACCGCTGCTCGCCAGGAGCTGGGGCCGAGGAAAGGCAGGGGAGAGGCTGGGCCCAGCTCAGCGGTGAAGGCAGCGCGGCTCCCGCTCGCTCCGGGCCCGCCCGCCTCTCAGTCCCTCCCCCTCCCCCCTACGCGCTGCTCCAGCAAAGCTAATCCGCACCCCCCGCCCTCCCCGGGGCCTCGAGCCCTGGGGGCTACCCCCGCTCGTCGCCTGGTCCCGGCTGTGCTCTCCCGCCAACCCCGAGACCCGCCCCTGACGAGGGGGAGGCATATGGAACCCTCGGAAGTGTTTCCCGGACCCTCACGTGCCCCACCCCACTCGCGTCCACATCCCTCTCGCCCCCCGCCCCCCGAGCCACACGCAAGGCCCAGCTGCACACGCGTGTCCCGCTCCAGACCCCACGCGTGTCCCTAGGCGGCTGCCACATGACCTGTTACATGCCACACGCGCTCTCGCCCCCACGAGCACGCGGCCACGCCAAGCACACGATATGGGTGTAGACCAGACCCGCCCCCTAGAACCAGGAGACTGTCAACTTAGTGGAGGGAAGATCTAGGGAACACCGCCTCGACTCCTCTGGGGTTCTCGGTCTTGGACCCAGGAGGAGGTTCAATCCTGACCACCCATCCAGGGAAGAGCAGGATGGACGGTAGTCAGACTTCAGAAAGAATGTCCCTGGTTCCTGAGTTAGGAGTCCTAGTTGCCTGGGAGTGGTAAGAGGTTAGCTGAGATGTCCCTGGGACTGGAGGAAATGGGGGACAGGCAACCTCTTTTTCCGCTTGTGCTCTTGGCGAGGGTAGAAGGGAGCACGGCTATTTTAAGAAAGCGCCGCTTGAGTTACTATGGTAACCGCTTTCCTTCAGAAGGTCGGAGCGGGTAGGTGGTGACCTCGGAAGGAGGAAGGAAGGTGTTTGTCCGGGCGGTCTAGGGGAACGGGGACGTGTAAGGCGGGGGCGCGCGGGGCTCACCGCGGGGTGGCGCGGCGCGGCTTCCGTGTGGTGCTGAAGGGGACAGCGCCAGATTTGTCGCACTGCGCAGGCGCAGAGGCGCGAACAAAGCGGGGAGGGGGAGAAGGCGCGCGACCCGAGGCGGTGCGCGCTCTTGTGGCTCTATCCTAGCAGAGGTCAATCCTCTCAGTCTCCCCTCCTTAAGCAAGCTACGGAAGAAAAGGAGGCCGGTCCTTCACCCAACCTGACCCTCTTCTATTCCTACCCTGCTGCTGGCCTCTCCCTTCTCACCGCATTGCGGGGTGGTGGAAAGTGGAAGGGATTTGGGGAAAATCAGAATGCCTGGATTCTCTATCCCCTATTCGCTTGACCCTGGACCAGGCACTTCCTCTCCAGGGCCTTGATTTCTCTATCTTTAAAATGGAGCGACAGCACTATCCAGCCCACCTTACGAAGGTGGCTCAAACCCCGATGAGATAACGGACGGGAAGCTGGTTTTGTTATGAAGTGGAGGTGAAGCGGTTGCCTCGAGGGAGCGCCCATCCCTGCTGGGGGCAGCTCTCAGCAACGGCAGTGGCGTGCCACTGAGGAGGCCCTGGGCATTCTTCATCCCATCCCCCACCATGCATAATGGGGAAAGCACTGTGTCCTAGTTCCCTAGAGCGGACCTAGGAACTAGGACCTGGGGGAAAGCCGGCCCAGAGACTGAACCCAGAGCTCTCTGCCAGAGCGCGGGCCCAGTCCCAAGCCCCATAACTAACCCCCCAGGTCTGTATTCGAGAAGCAGTACCCCTAGTGGACTGAGCTGGGCACTCATTCTTCTCAGGTCTCTGGGAATCCTGGGGAAAGGAAAGAGATCTGGCTGGAGATACAGTCTTCAGCGCCCCGTGTTTCTCTCACTGAGTATAAACCCAGTCCATAATATCCTAGAATAGATGGGCTGGACAGTGCTGTACTTCACAAGTAACCAGGAAGAGGACGTCTGCACAAGCGTGCTTGATGAAGGAAGAAAAATTCTGGCTTTGCCCACTCATTCATTTAATAATTACTTATTGAGCACCTACTACGTGACAAGCAGGAAGAGCCCGGACAGTTTTTCCCCATTTTTCAAAATCGCCAGTGGGAGAAAGGAGTAGAGCAGAAACCCAGGCGTCTTGACTCCGCCCCCTCTGCGTTTGGCCTTGCTTGCTCCTCCCATTACTACTTCGAGGTGGCCATCAGCTCAAAACGAAGACACAAGCCAGTCTTTGCTACCACTTGGTTCTCCAGCTCCGGGCCTCAAGGCCTGTTGGTGAGAAAGCGAGGTCAAATGTTACACCATCGGTCTGTTCTACCTCAGTTTTGGGGTCCTTCCGGAAGGTTTTCAGATAGGCTCCTCAATGAGACGGCACTCGATTGAATCAGTCTGTCTACAACCCAAGTAGGCGGGTTCTATGTAGTCGCTCCGAGGCCGATGTAAGAATAGCTTACTGCGCACGCGCAGTAGACAGCTGATGGAGCCACGGATGGAGCCGTCCGGAGGGGAGCAAGAGCCCGGAGCCGTCAGGTACCGAGGACTGGAGGGGCCGAGGCAGGGGAGAGAATCTGGGAGGGGAAGTGGGTTGAGGCCTGGGTCTTTGAGCTGGGGCACAGGAGTAGAACGAAGGCGGACTCGCAGTAACAGAGTGGCTCTGGGACGCCACTGCCACCGCTCCTTTACCCGCAGGCTCCTGGACCTGCCCTGGGAAGACGTGCTGCTCCCACACGTCCTATGCCGGGTTCCGCTGCAACAGCTGCTCCGGCTGCAGCGCGTTAGCCGGGCCTTCCGGGCACTAGTGCAGCTGCACCTGGCGGGGCTGCGCCGCTTCGACGCCTCTCAGGTGAGCCAGGGGCCACCGCCCCGCCCCCAGTCCCTCTGTTTAGCCTTCCCGAATCCCCGGAGCCGCAAGGGCTGCCCAAGAAGCGACCCACGAAGTGGGGAGCACTTTTCAAAGGCAGGTACTGGGTAGCCACTCAGGATGGTGGAACCTCTCTGGGAGGACAGGTGGCAAGCCCCGAGGGCGAGCGGCTGCCAAGAAAGAACTCAGGGACCGATGGGCACCGTCTGTCCCATTCCCGGGGCGGGCTGAGAGTCGAGGCGCCTCCCTGCCCACAGGTGGGTCCGCAGATCCCGCGGGCCGCATTGACCCGGCTGCTGCGGGACGCAGAGGGGCTGCAAGAGCTGATGCTGGCGCCATGTCACGAATGGCTGTCAGATGAGGACCTGGTGCCGGTGCTGGCGCGAAATCCTCAGCTGCGGAGTGTGGTGCTGGCCGGCTGCGGGCAACTGAGCCGCCGCGCGCTGGGGGCGCTGGCAGAGGGCTGCCCCCGCCTGCAGCGCCTGTCGCTCGCGCACTGTGACTGGGTGGATGGGCTGGCGCTGCGCGGCCTTGCAGATCGCTGCCCGGCACTGGAGGAGCTAGACCTCACCGCCTGCCGCCAGCTCAAGGACGAGGCCATCGCGTATCTGGCGCAGAGGCGTGGCGCAGGCCTTCGCAGCCTCTCGCTGGCTGTCAACGCTAATGTGGGCGACACTGCCGTTCAGGAGTTGGCACGGAACTGCCCGCAACTACAGCACCTCGACCTCACCGGCTGCCTCCGTGTCGGAAGCGACAGCGTCAGGTGCCCAGGCCTGGGGGGCGATGGGGTGGCAGGAGGACAAACACTTAGCTTCTAGGGGAGGGGTGAGCTGTTGTGGTCAAAATGCAGAATTACGGGGTTCTGGATCATCTGCTATCACAGCACCCCCATCCTAAACAGGAAAAACTAATAGGATTGCCAAGACTAAAGAACCCACACAGTTTAAGAACTTTTTGAACCAGTATTTACACATTGGGAGATTTCATATACAAAGAACTGGATTCTTTTCAACGAGGGGGAAGTCTTGAAATCCCGGGTGAGCCAAGGAGCAGGTTTCCCTTTTAAGAAACTGGAAATCTCTGGTTCACTGGAGACATTGAATGTAGACCCCAATTCAGTCCAGGCCCCCTCCCTCATGTACGGAGGAAAAAAGCATGGCCTGAGCTGGAGGGATTTAAGGGTTTTTCTGAAGCCAGAAGTAGGTACAGTGGGTCGGGGCCCGCCCCTCCTCCGCTGTGGGTGTGGCGGCTTCATGCCCCGGTAGCCTCAACCTGCTCCTCCCCCAGGACATTGGCCGAGTATTGCCCAGCGCTTCGATCACTGCGCGTGCGGCACTGCCACCATGTGGCCGAGCCCAGCCTGAGCCGCTTGCGGAAGCGCGGTGTGGACATCGACGTGGAGCCGCCGTTGCACCAAGCCTTGGTGCTGCTCCAGGACATGGCAGGCTTCGCACCCTTTGTCAACCTGCAGGTCTGAACTGCCCGCAGGTCGGGGAGCAGCTGGACTGTGTGGTGGGGACCTGACTGTGAGCTGTAGGGAAACTGGACTGTGGGGCCCTCTGGTGAGAGGTCAGTGCCCTGCCCCATCCTGGAGTTTCAAATAAAGAGCTTTTACCCCCTCTAGCCTGGCCCTACTGCCCTATTGAAGACAAGGGATGTGAGGCGGGGAGGGGAGGTCAGAAGACACAGTACTCTAAGCCTGGGGCAGAAATGACCAGACTGCACACACTGTGCTCACACCACCTTTACTGTGTCTGTGGGCAGCTCTGAGAGGAAGTTAACACTCTGGGGCAAGGAAGTAGAGAAGGAAGTCAGGAGTTGAGGAGATCCCTGTGGGAGGGGTCTAGTGCTCCTGCATCCCTCTGGGATCTGAGCCGAGAAGGCTCAGGTAGAGTCTGGTGTGTGCCTCAGTGGAAGCGGTACTTTCTGGCTGGCTTGAGGTTGATGTACGTGGCCTTCATCTCCTCCGCCTCAGGGTTCCGCACATCTTTGAATCTCTCCCCTTTGGTGCTCACTACCTGGTTGTCAATGTAGCGGATCAGCTTCTTGGGGGCCTGTCAGGCATTCAGGCAGTGAGTGGCAGAAGCCAGAAAACAGTCTCCTCCAAGTTCGTACCCTAGCACCCCCAGCCCTCTCACCTCCTTGGGAGCCATGGGCCGGTGAATCTTCTGATCCTCTGCACTATCCACCATCATGTACCTGCCGAAAACTGGCTGGTTGAAGCTGCCACCCTGGGGAGAGCCTTTGGGGCCCAGCCCAGCCCAGCCCAGCCCAGCCCAGACTCACTTCTGCAGGATGAAAGACTTCAGCTCATCCTTTTGGGGGCCTCTGAGGCGCCTGGGCAGGTCCTGTGGAGAGGGGAGGCCTGGTCTAGGCCTTGGGGCACCATCAGGGGAAGCAGATGGGGATAGGTTTCGGGGGAGGCACGGTTAAAACCAAGTGGGAATACAGCTGGAGCTACATGGAGTGGGGAGGGGAGAGCCAGGTCTGAGTCCTGGTACTGTTTTGGTGAGGGTGGTGGGGGTGGTTAGGGGAGATACCTGATTGGAGTGGTCCTTCCCCTCTACCAGCACCTGCACAGCCTCTTCCAAGTTCCCCCCAGCTTTGGCTAGTGCCCATTGGGCCTGTCCCACTGAGCAGGTTGGGAACACCTCCAGGAGTACATCCACCCCTGGCAGCAGCTCCTCCTTAGTGCCTGCTGCCTGTGGGCATAAATGTTGACTTTAAAAAAAAAAAAAACACTGCCATCAAGTCAATTCTGACTCATAATGACCCCCAAGGGTTTCCAAGGCTGTAAATCTTTGTGGAAGTAGATTGCCTCATCTTTCTCCTGTGGAGCAGCTAGTGGGTTTGACCTGTCAACCTTCTGGTTAGTAGCCAAATACCTTACCCCTTGCACCACCAGAGCTCCTAAGAGGCAGGAATTCCTCCATTCCCACTTCCCACCTCCCTCATCCATACTCTCCTCTACTACCAGTACCTTATCATGGCTGTCTCTAGCAGTAGTGGGAGAAGACCTGGTCTCTTCTTTGAGCTTTTCAGGCCTCTGCAAGGCATCTAGAGGGATGGGCACTTGACCTTGGACCTCAGAGCTCTGTGGTTGCAGGTTCTCTTAAAGGGGCAGAGAGAGCAGCAGGTTTTCCAGGGCTTTAGAGTGGTGGTGGTTATAAATCACCCAAATGCCCAGCACCCCACACTCACCTTTGTTTCTGGCATCACTCAGCTGCCCAGAGAGCTTCTGCATCATGTCCCCTATTGTGCTCCTGAGTGGATAAGGAGGATGGTGAAGGGACAATTCCACCTACCCCCCGCTCCCTCTTCTTGGCCCAAGCCAGGCCCTACCTGGGGATGTGGGCGAAGCCAGGTACATAGGCCTCCATCATCTCAGTGAAGGCCTCCATATCAAAGTTTTCTTCTGATGGGCCTGAGGGGCCCAGGTCCTCCAGGACCCCAAGAACATAGGAGAAAATGACATCATCCAAGCCACTGCAAGGAAGGGACATGACAACCCCTGGGTAGGATACTTGATACCTCACCAGCACCCCCACTGAACCTAAGATTCCAGCTGTCAGCTTCCTGGGGTCCATGAGCTAGACATGAGGCCTAGATCCTTAAGTCAAGAGAGTCTCCCACCCTTCCTCAGAGTTTTGGTTTCTCACCTGCCCAAAAAGAGTCACAGGGACAGATGAGGGGCAAGCCAATTCCACACCAGGCAGAGGGCTGAGTGCTCTCCACCCAGTCTTTCCAGTGGCCAGGCCTAGAGTACTACCCAGCAGCTCCAACCCTGGGCCTACCATGACCCTTCCAGGGGAGTTGCCTCTACCTGACATCAGCCTCTGGGAGATGCGTCTGGACAAAGGCGAGGAGGGCTGCACTGACAGTCTTCTCCAGCTCCATGCTTTCTCTTCTGAAAGGACACGAGACAGAGGTTTGCCAGGCCCTCTTCTGCCTGTCCCTCCCCTCCCCACTGAGCCTGGGGGTGGCCAGCTCCTGCTCCCAGCCTGTTGCTGCCTGATGCTGTAAAACCATCTGTTGATGTTGCCCTCAGCTTCCAGCTCTCCAGCCCTGCCCTCCTCCCCAAGCAGGGCCACAGCTCCCTCCCCACCCGTCTCCACCTCCTCTAGCCTGAGACAGGGCAGGGCACTGTTTCTAGAGAAGGACTGAGTGGAGGTGCCCTCCTACTCCTACCCCCAGCAGAAGGCCCAGACCCTCTGGCAAGAAGCCAAGGTCTTGGGGTCACATGCCTCGGAGCTGAGGAATCCCATCATCCAGGGAGCCATGTGGCCCCCAAGTCTGACTACAAGGGGTCCCATTGTCCAGCCTCCTCCCCCCTCCCAAAGAGTGGACCTCAGGACCAAGCACAGCTCTTCCCTAACCCAGAAGAGGCCACCCACCCGTTGCACAAAGGGGCTTTTCTGGCCTTGGGGCCCAGATGGAAGGGGAAGTCTTTCATAGACTCTTTCCTCCTGCCCAATCCCTGCCCTTCCAGCAGTGAGGGGCTGTCTACAAAGGATGTTCATATCCTCCTTCCCAACGCCTCTACAGCCCTACAAGATCTGGCCTTTGCCTACCTCTGCAACCTCACCACCCTTTCCTTGCTCACTCCACTCCTGCCCCACCAGTCACCTTGCTGAGCTTCTTTCTGCCTGTATCTCCCAGTTAGACACATGCTCATTCCTTCACTTCCTCCAGAGCTCTGCTCAAATGTTACCTCCTCAGATTCTCCCTAACTCCTTACTCCACTCATTTTCTATATAGCACTTACTATACAAGAACACAAATAGCTTAACATTATTTTATATATTTATTTGCCTATCGTCTATCATTCCCAGCTAGAAGGGAGAGACATTGTCTGTCCTATTCATTAGTGTAGCTCTAGAACCTAGAAAAGTGCCTGCACTTAGTAGGTGCTCAATAAAATCATTCATTCATTTACTTGCTAAACATGAAACTTGGAGATTAACCTTGATTTCTCCCTCTCTCCCCTCCACCTGCTACAGCCACTCAATCACCAAGTCCTGTCGATTCTATTCCCTCTGTATTTTCCAATATATCCACTTCTCCCCATATCCAGTTTGGCTTTTGCTGCAATAAGTCCACCAAACTTCTCAGTCTAAAGTCCACCTGTAACTTTTTTAGGTTTTAGTTCATTAGGTTGAGCTATATGAGTTCAGCAGTATTTGCCTGGTTTTGAGCCACAAAAAAACAAGAAAATAAGTGAACAAAAAAGGCAATTTCTTATGGTTTCGTCTAATATTTGCCGTCTCCACAGCATCAGTGTTGGTTTCTGAGACACTGTACTCTCCTGGCTCTCTTTTACCTTTCTGGCCATTTCTTCCCTGTCTCTGTCCCTCTCTCCTGTGCTGGATGGACTTCCTCAGGCTCAGAGCTGGTCCTCTTCTCCCCTCATTCTGCATTCTCTCTCTGGAAGTTTTCGTCTGGGTCTGTATTTTTATGTACCAATGTATGTCACTGACTCCTGAATGTCCACCCCTCTAGTCCAGTCCCATTCCCTGAGCTACAAACTTGTACATCTACTTCCCTAACACCTCCTCGTGGATGTCTTATGGGCATCTCACATTTAACAGGTCCCAAACTGACATTCTCCCATGTTTTCACTCCTCCAGGACCATCTTCAGTAAATGCATGAGCAGGCACGCAGCTGATTATGCTAGAAGTCTGGGAATTATTCTCGACACCACTGTCCTTTGTCATCCACATCCAAACAGTCACCAAGCCTGACTATTAACTCTTAACCACATCAATTCTCTTCATCTCCACTTGCCTTAACTCTGGTCCTTGCCTTAACTACTGCAAGAACTTCCTAACACTACCTTCACTATTACTACTACCTAGGCCCTCACGACCATCTTTTCCCCAACACCCTGTTCTCCACACTATAGCTGTGTGATCTTCACAAAAAAACCCTGTCAATTCTGCTTATGGCTCATCAATACCAATTATTTAAAACAAAACCCACCAAATTCACTCCCATCGAGTCAATTCAACTCATAGCAACCTCTCCTTGGGTTACTAAGCAATATGACTGCGGCAGTAGATTGTCCAATCTTCCTTCCGAGGAGCGGCTGGTGGGTTTGAACCACCAGACTTCTGGTTAGCACTCATATGCCTGAGGCACTATGCCACCAGAACTCCCAATACCTATTATTCCAAAACACCTATTATTAGGTATAATATACCTACTATACCAAACATTAGGTGTTTTTTAATACCCTTTAGAGAACTCCAGAATCTTTTTGTGTCTGTTGATGTAGGGCCTTACCCCTGTCTATCTCTCTCCAGCCTCATACACCACACTCTCCCTGGCTCCCCCGCCTCTCCCCTGGCTTGCTTTCAGTTTGCCAACACTTCAAGCTGTTTCATGGCAAGGGCCTCTGCACCAACAGCCTCCTCTGCCTGAGCACCTTCCACCTCTGTCCCTTCACTCATCAAACTCCTTCTTACCTTTAAGGTCTGAGTTCAAAATTCTCTCCTGAAGGGATGCTATCCCTCATCCTCTAGAACTGGCTTGGTCCCCTCTATCTTATAACCGCATTACAGACTGCACTTTTCCTTACTTAGCAGAAACTTTCACAGTGTAATTAAATAATTGTATGGGCAATGTTTAATATTTCTTCAGTTGTTTCATAAGGGCAGGGATTATAGCTGGCTTAGTCACCAATGTACACTAGGTATCTAGAAGGCACTCAGTAAATATTACTCCCCACATTATAGATGAATAAACTGAAGCTCAGTAGGCTTAATGACTTGACGGAATGTCACACAGCTTGACTGTGACAGAGTTTAGATTTGAATCCAAGTCTCCTGGTTCACTGATTATATTCCAAGGCCTACTCTGGGGATGGAGTGCTGCTGCTACTGGTGGTAACAAGGCTTCAATGGGTTGGAACAGAGCTACTATCTATGATCACAGTCCTCTGGTCCTCTCCATGGTAACAAAGAGTTGCTGTGACAGCACAGGGATCACTTTGAAAAGCAGGACTGAGAAGCCTAGCCTACAAAGAGGATGCTTGACTCTGAGCATGCCTCTTGCTCCAGACCCCAAGCCATGGGCCCCTGGGGAGAAGTGGAACTGCTCAACCTGGGCATACCAGATTCTATCATGCAACTCCCCCAGTAAGGCAGCCCCTTCAATTCTACAACAACCCTGTTAACAGCACCCTGACAATCCTTGCAAAGGCCAATGGCTACTTGTGAGAGTCCAGTTTCCAGAGAAGAAGCCTCTCAGGGATGTGTTTGATGCCTAAGGGTTTCTGACAATTGTCATTGACCCCAAATGCAATGGGCTTCTGCTCCAGGTTGTTCTCTCAGGGAATGCCCCCCCCCCCCCACACACACACCCTGTTCTTGGGCTGTCCCAACTGTATCCATTCTTCAAAGCTTCCCACTTCCCCCATTCCCTCAGCTTTCCTCAGCATTTCTTTTCTGCTGGGAGAGTCCTCCTAGAATTGCTCCCCCTGTTGGGGCATATTTGGTCTAGCAAACTGCTTCCCCAAGTTGAAGCCTGAGTAACCAGTTCTTTTCCAGGATAAAAGCATGTTAACCATGAGGCTTTTCAAATTCCAGATGTAGCCCACAGACCCCATTACTTCCTGGAGCCCCAAATCATCACTTAGTGGTTGGTGGTACATATGAAATGTGACCGTCATGAGCCCTACTTAAACACCTCTGATGATAACAACAGGATTTACTCTCTGCTTACATTGTGCCAGGCACCGTTCTAAGCCCTTACATGTACTAACTCATTTAAACCTCACCATAACCCTAAAATGTAGATAGTAGTATTATCCCCGTTTTACCCAAGTTGACTTGCCTGAGGTAAATGGCAGATTTACACTCAGGCAGTCCGGCTTCAGAGCTCTCGCTATTTAACCCCTGTACCACATACCATCCCTCAAGATGCAAATGTGTGCCCCAGCCACTGTTGTGATCCTCTTCCGCCTGGCAGGTGCCTAGACTGCCTTTGAACCTGCATGCACAGTTCTCCCTGTTCAGAACGTCTCTCCCTCTGCCTTTTTTTCTGTCTCTCCCAATCTCATCCTGTACCACCCACTTTCTCTTTGCATCCAACTTTGACTGCCCCATCCTCTAACTGGCCCTGTTCCAGGGGCCACAGGCCTGGACCTTCCAGATGCTCAATAGAGCCCTTCTGGACAAACTCAAGTGAGCCTGGAGGAGCAGTACTATGGTCAGAGGTGAAGGGAGAACAGAGAGCCATGTGCGAACCGGTGTGGGAGGCGTCTTGAGGGGTTTAGAGGGGCAACGGGGGTCCAGCTAGAAAGTCTTTATTTCTTTTCCCAGCCCCACAGAACCCTGCTCCTGGGATCCTAGCCCATGTCGCAAGCACCTGAGGGCATCATTCTGTCCTGCCCTCTAAGTCAGGTCTTAGAGGTGCCAAGGGCATTGAGGGCCACAAGGGATCCGGGCGTCCAAAGTCAGCGGGTTCGCAAACGGCAAGTGGGGCCGCGACGATGGCCGACCCCTGAAGCAGGAACTGCCTAAACTAGCTAACGAGGTACCCGCAAAGAGTCCAGAAGAGTGGGCCTCAGGGCATGGGGATGCGGTTGCGGCCCTGAGGGACATGTGACGGGTCAGGCCTGAGCAAGCTGGGTTGTGCATTGATGCAGGCCACTGAGAAAATCAAAGACTGGGGTCCGGCGGGCCCCAGAGAGAATACCGTGAGGGAACTCACAAGACGAGTACCCTGGGTCAACCTCTCCGCAACTCTCCCGCCGGGCTGAGGGCTTGAAGGGAAATCACCTGCTCCGTCAGGCGCCGCCGGCGACTTGTCCCGCGCGGTGCAGCTCTCATCCCCCGAGCCCCACCAACGAGATCAAAGGCATGGCCCAGAGCGGTTCCTTCCAGCGGCGCCGCGG